ATATCGGTATCAACGGATCGGTCCATTATTGGTCATAGCTCCCATATAAAGCCCACTTCCGAAAATCACTTAAACGCACATATTTAATTTAAAATTTAAAACAAAGTTATCTTGATAAAATTCGACACAAATATGTTTTGCCTATCAATTTTTTCCGGATAGGCTCCCATAGAGGGCCTACTTACGAAAATCGGGATAAAGTACGACTTGAATATGTTTTGTGAATCATTCAACCAAATTTTTTTCCGGATTAGTCCATATATGGTAATAGCTCCTATATAAGGTCCACTTCAAAAATATAACTTAAATAAAGATATCTTGTCAAATAAAGATATCTTGATAAAATTCGACACAAATATGTTTTGTGTAAGGTCATATCTCCTATATATATAAAGTCCACTTCCAAAACGCACATATTTCATTAATTAATAAATCTATTGTCGTAAAATTCGACTTGAATTCTTTTTTTTTTTTTGGCATATAAATCACGAAATTTTTTTCTTATCGGTCGATAATTGGTCTCAACTCCCATATAAGGACCATTTCCGAAAATAACTCAAATGCACATTGACAATCAAAGTTATCGAGATAAAATTCGGCATAAATGTATATATAAATCATTCTACGGAATTTTTTTCCGGATCGGTCCATAACTTGTCTTAGCTTCCATATAAGGTATACTTCTGAAAATCACCTAATACCACTTAATTCGTTATTAAATGATTATATATCATCGGATAGAATTCAAAATGAGTATGTTCTGTGTATAGATAAATCATTCTATTAAAATGATTTCGAACTAGCCGGCCAGTGCCTATTAATATAAATTTTTCTGGACCTAATTAAAATTAGTTTGACATATGCATAAATGTTAGTACCCTCAATACGGAAACAAAAATTTTGCCAAGTTATCTAAAGATTAGATAGTTAAATGGGTTTTAATAAAAAGTAGCTTGCTGGTGGAGGGTATTTAAGATTCGGCATAGCCGATTATAGCACTCTAACTTGTTTTTCATTAAATTTAATTTTTGATATTATGCGTAAAAGCCCAAAATCAGAGTTATAAACCAATATTTTACATTGCAGTGGTATTTAATTTAAAGATTTATGAGACTTTTAAATTCTATTGGCTCAATTGGATATGTATATATACATATTTACATGTACGTATGTATAAGTTTGCATCATGGACATACATACATATGTATGTATGTAGCTCCAATTATATCTATGCATATATGTATTTGCCCACGTATGAATAATTTCAATAAATCTATAAAATATTGAAAAATGTTAACCAAAATTTTCAACATAATTAATTTTTATGGATTTTATGCGTAAATAAATACAAACATATGTATGTATATTGTTATTTATATTAGGATTGCTTTAAAATAAAATGCAATTTCGCTTCACTAAATAAAAGAGCAAAAAAAAAGTTAATTTTTATGTTTTTTATATTTGTTTATAAATAATTTTATATAAAAATCCCTTAAATGGCATAACAAAATATTTTGTTTAGGTCCCATATGGAAGTTCGATATGATATAAAATGGAACTATGACTCATACTTATACTATTGTAATATAGTAATATTTTAAATACCTTTCTGAGCATTAAACTTTCATTCATTTGCTTTAAAATTAATTTGTTGTTATTTATATATATATAAAAGAGTAGCGTTACTGACTGACTGATTCATCATCGCACAGCCCAAACGGCTGAACCTAGAATCATGAAATTTTGACAGTAGATGTGTTTTTGGATATATAGATCCACTAAGGAGGGATTTTTGGAAATTTGTACATTTAGGAGTAAAAAAGGGAAAAACGGGTAAAACAGGAATTCTTAATTATCTTACCTAATATTAGTGATACAAGAAAAATTTTAAATGCACATGTATCTACTCTTAAAATAAGCAGATGGGTGTCTGGTACTTTTTTGAAATTCGGACTTATAAGTGGTGAAAATGTGTAACAAAGGTGATTTTGGTACCTTTTTTGACCCTTTATAACTTTTTTAATAATAAACAAATTACAATCTTTGTAAATATATTGAATATATCTCCAAAAATTAGGAGACACCTGTTTCGTACTTTTTTAAAATTCAGCCCTTTTTGGGTGTAAAAGGGAGAAAACTGTATTTTTGGTACTTTTTTTAGCACATTAAGAAAACTTTTTCGATTTATTCAAGTATTCCTATTAAATTACGGACTAAATCTGTAATATTTGTTGAAACAAAATATTTGCTATTTCACTGGGGAAAAAAGTACCAAAAAGGGGAAAAACGAGAAATTAAATTTTATTCAAACTCATTAAGCCAATTTTTATAAAATTCGAAAAAGTAGTTTATTTACTCAGACAAAATAAGCTATTGGTATATTATTTTGGAATTCGAGTACTAAGGCCTATATAGGACCAAATTCGAGTAAATTGTTTGGTACCTTTTTGAAAGCATAATTTTTCTGGAACAAATGAATGCAGATTTGAATCGTTTGAGTTTTATCTGTGATATATAGTTTTACATAAGTACGGAACATTTTGTAAACTTAATTCTCAAAAAAGTATATTTCTAAGCGAAAAGTGGAAAAATTGTTCTATTCTTATTAGTACTTTCCACTAAGGTAGAATTTATTCCACTTTTAGTACTTTTTCTTTCTTCAACTGATACTCTGTATGTTTTATAATATGAATTCAAAACACTTGATTATTAAACATACACGGTCCTCATTGAAGATTCTTTAAGAAAGAACTTTTTAGTAACTTTTTATCTCATAAATGGCACTTTTTGAATTTTCCAAAATATTCAACCTATACATTTTATCGTACATGGTCATGACTGAATAATATTCTGTAAGTGGGTACTCTTTGCTACTTTTCCATTCTTCAAATGGTACGTTTTGATTTCTCTATAATGGTAAACAGTAAAACATCCTTATTAAATGATAATTTATTGAGAGAGATTTTTGTACTTTTTCGTTTTTCACGTGATATTGAACGTAAAAAACATGCAACATTAAATAATTTTTAAATCAATTTTAATTTTCTATAAAAGTAAACAAAATTGTGTATGTATTTAATTTTGGTTAGGGTAGCGAAGCACCCAGGGTATTCTAGTATACATATAAATGCACTTAATTACATTTTCTATGTAAATTTTGTGTTTTAATTACATTTATTATACACTTTTGCGAACACTTAAGTCTGAGGCATTATAATCTTTTACAACAAACGATATTATATTATAATTTGTAAAAATTTACGCACTACTTATACTATATTTACTTACTTATACTATATTTATTCATTGACAGCTATATGTATATTAAACACTATATTAAAGCACGGTTGTGTATTAGTTTTATCATCGTTCCAATTATCCTAGTTGAAATTAAATTATTTATGCATAATTAGCATTCTTTTGTATAAATAGTTTTCCTCATAAGTATGTAAATGTAAACAATACATACAAATACAAATATAAACGTTCTCTTCCTTTTGTTGCGATTTTATTTACATTCATAAATACATACATATTCATGGGAATGTTATTAATTTTAAACATGGCGCTGAGAAAGATGGTGGGTAGAATAAAAATTTAATAGATTTTTTTAAAGACTCCCTTTCTTCTTGTTCTTTGTTGTTATATGCGAGTGCTGATAACCACAGGTTTATTATATACATATGTACACTCCCCTGGTGAGCTTATCGAAATTGATGAATGACTAGGCTTTGAGAGAGATGGTACTCAGGTGATCAAATGTCACCACCTATGGAATATTCAGACTGCTCTGACAAAGTATCATTTAGCAAGAATTCGAATAGGATTCTTACGGGTATATTTAGTGGGCACTGTATGTTGGACATATGTAATATGTGGGAACGTATGGACTACAGCTATTGAAGAAATTGTTTGGATGAAGAAGAAGAGGAATCGGTACAACATCTTCTATGTGCAGTAGGTAGAGCTCTTTTCCATGATCTGGACTGTCTCAGTGATGTGTCACTAGTAAATATGATCGGATTTATTAGAAGTACCGGCTGGTTCTTACCAGAACTACAGGAACCATAAAGACAACGAAATTATGGATTTATGTATTAACTCTCAATATAATAGAATAGAATTCTAAGGCTAACACAATGGGTCACAAGACTTCCGAGTGAACTCGTTAAATAGCAATCAACACACGTAAACTAAACTAATGCAATATGTGCTTTTGCGTGTTATCAAAAAAGGGACTTATATGGGAGCTATTATATCTTTCAATATCTTTATGTCTTACTTAAATATATGTATTTAAGTGATTTTTTTAGAAGTGAACCTTATATGGGAGCTATGACCATTTATGGACCGAGCCAAGCCATGGCACTCTTTACTAACACTTCAAGTTAATTCATTAATACGATAATTCCAAAACTATTCTACTCTAAATATTTCTCACTTCTTCGAGTTAAATTCTTTGAAGTGGTTCATATTACTGAAGTTTATTTACTTTTTAACAGTAATGAGCGTGTAATTTATTTTCTGAAGGTCAGTTATCGACAGATCCTTATGAATTTCGTTAGAAAGATTATAGTTCCTTTAAAACAAGTTTATGTCGAAATTCATCGCTGTACTCAGGAGTTAAAGTCAATGTCTGGAGGGAACCTTATATGGGAAGTAGGGAAAATTAGGGGCAGAGATTACAGATCGTATAAAACTTATTTAAGACGAATTCCTTCGCTGTACTAGTAATTCTAAGACGGTATCCGAAGCGGTTAGGGTCAATTATCAGACCAATCCTCATAAAATTTGGCAGAGGGATTTATATGGGGAGTAAGGTCAATTTTGGACAGATCCTCACAAAATTTAATAAAAAGATTTTGGTTTGTATAAGACTTGTTTATTTATGGTAATATCGGTATTTTTAAAAAAGTTATCTCTGTTTAGTTTCCAAATTCCTTTGTTTTTGTCATGCTGAATTTAAATTAAGCAAACACTATTTTAAAGAACAATATCACTTAAAGTTTTTTTTCGTTTTATTTACTAAGTAATACCTAAATCTAAATGTTTAACAAATCACAATTTTTAATATCCATGTTTGCCATAACCACCATGACCGCCGTGACTGCCATGTCTACCATGACTGCCACCATAACCACCTTGGGAACCACCATAACCGCCTTGGTGACCTCCCAAACCACCTTGGTGACCACCCAAACCACCTTGAGAACCTCCATAACCGCCTTGGTGTCCACCCAAACCGCCTTGGTGTCCACCAAAACCGCCTTGGTGACCACCCAATCCTCCTTGGTGTCCACCCAAACCACCTTGGTGTCCACCTTGATGTCCTCCGAAACCACCACCAACACCATGACCACCACCATGACCAACACCATGTCCACCACCAACACCATGTCCACCACCAACACCATGTCCACCACCATATCCACCTCCCACTTGAGGGGCATGACCGCCATTACCATAGCCGCCACCATAACCACCGGGATAGGCCAAAGCAATGCCAAATAAGGCTACAAAAACAATCTGTAATAATAAATTACACACATTAAATAAGTTGTTATAATTTTTTTTTTAATATTACGAATAATTAAATATTTACCATAAGTTTTGCCATTTTATTGTTTATTTAAATATTTATGAATTTTTTTTTTTTTTACTTGTCACTTGTTTAATTAAAAACTTTGTACTAATTTGAAATTCTAACGCAATAAGTATTTATACTAAAAATTATACAGTACAAATAAAAACAAAAACATTTAGTTTAAGTTCTATGAATCTCTCAATTAAATAGAATTGATTAAACAATTATGTAGACATACATACTACACTTACAGAATGGTATAATCCCTTATCAATAAAACTATTTTATGCGATTAAAATTGAGATCAAAAACAATCCAAACATAAACATGGACAAACATATCTGTGCACGAGTAAACATCTGCTTGTTCTTTTTTTAGAATGACCGCAATTATACATAAGTACACACATATTGATTTAACATAGAAATCAGATTAAGAATAAAGCTTTTATTTAAATTGTGTTTACATATATGGAAATTTACAAACATAAGTATATTAAATATTTTTAAATGATTTAATTTTTTTGCTTTTAGTTATTTAAAAAAATAGTTTAAGTTCATTACTTACGGAATTATGTACTTTAACATTGTTTATGGTTTTAATAAAAACAATAAAAATTTACAGTATTCCATTTAAAAGCATGTAACATAGATCTAAATTTATTTACTATTAAATAATATAAAAACCTAATTAAAGCATTTTAATACTAAAAGAAACAAATCTTCAAACAAATACATAAATCAAATTTTAGCTGTATTTTACTGTGTTTTATTAGAGTCTTCTGTATATTATCTGTGAAAAAATATGTTTTTGTGTAATTAATTTATGGATTTTCCTGATATGTTTCACACAGTTTAATGGTTCTAAGAAAATATTCATTAATTAGAACAAAGAACCCTCGCATCGCCGTCAAAGTTTGGTAATGTGTTTATATGGGAAAAATTGGACTTTTGAGTTTCATAGAAAATGAAGCATTAAGTATAAGTAAACCTGAAGACAAAGGTCCGTCTGTCTGTCTGTCTGTCTGTCTGTCTGTCTGTCTGTCCGACTGTCTGTCCGACTGTCTGTCCGACTGTCTGTCCGTCTGTCCGTCCGTCTATCCGTCTGTCCGTCCGTCTATCCGTCCGTCCGTCTGTCTGCCTGTCTGTCTGTGTGTCCGTCTGTCTGTTGAAATTATTTTCGGGATCCAAATCTTCAATAATTCTGTCAGACATGCTTTCGTAAAGTTTAATATTTAAAATCGGCAAAGGCATCCATAAATAACGGAAATATGAGACAACTTCCTAAAATTTTATTAAAAAAGACAATTTATTGCTTGCATTGAAAAAAAGCAACACAACGCTGATTACAGGCTTAAACATACGAATATAGCGATTTCATGCCAGCCAATATCTCTCCACTAAACTATATGTGGATCGGTCCATAATTGACCCTACCTCCCATATAAGGTCCCCTTCAGAAAATGACTTTAACGCTCATTATTATCGCAAAAATAAGAGCATAGCGATGAAATTTGACGTAAGTAAGTTTTATGCGAGTGAAAATCTCTCCACCAATTTTTATGTGGATCGGTCCATAATTGACCCCACCCCCCATATAAGGTCCCCTTCAGAAAATGACTTTAACGCTCATTATTGGCGTAAAAATACGAGTATAGCGATGAAATTTGACATAAGTAAGTTTTATACGAGTGAAAATCTCTCCACCAAATTTTATGTGGATCGGTCCACAATTGACCCTACCCCCCATATAAGGTCCCCTCCATTAAATTACTTTAACGCTCTTTACTGGCTTAAAAATACGAGTATGGCGATAAAATTTCACAGAAGTAAGTTTTATATGAGCCACAATCTCTCTACCAAATTTTATGTGGATCGGTTCATAATTGGCCCTGGTTGGTCCCCTTTTGAAAATGACTATGACTGCTGATTAGTGGCTTAAACATACGAATATAGCGATGAAAATGGACACATAATTGACCCTACCCCCCATATAAGGTCCCCTTCAGAAAATGACTTTAACGCTCATTTTTGGCGTAAAAAAACGAGTAAAGCGATAAAAAAAAGCGATACGAGTATAGCAATGAAATTTGACAGAAGTAAGTTTTATATCAAAATCTCTCTACTAAATATTATGTTGATCGTCCATAATTAACCCTACCCGCCCATATAAAGTCGCCTTCTTTAACGCTCATCTTAGAAGCTAAAAACCTTTCCACAAATTGTATGTGGATTGGGTCTTAAATGACCCTATATCCCATATAAGGTCCCCAACAGAAAATTACTTTAACGCCACTTTAAGGCCACTAATGGCCAAAAAAAACGAATAAAGCGATAAAATTCGATATAGTTTTTTATGAGCTAACAACATCTCTCTACAAAATTTTGTGGGGATCGGTCCATTATGTCCCCATCAGAAAATCACTTAAACGCTCATTACTGGCTTAAAAATGCGAGTACAGCGATGAAATTCGACACTGATAAGTTCTATAGGAACCAAAAACTCTCTACCAATTTGTATGCGGATCAGTCCATTATAACCCCACCCCATATTAATTCCCCCTCAGAAAATGACTACAACAAGAAAAATACGAATACCGCAATGCAATTCGACATAAAATAATTTTATGCTTAAATCTCTCTACCATACTTTATGAGAATTAGTCCATAATTAACCCTAACCCCGAATAAGGTCCCTTTAAGAAAATGACTTTAATGCTCATTACTAGCTAAAAATACAAATAAATCTACGAAATTTGAAATAAATAAGGAACTGAAATATTCGTACCGACTTTTATGAGAATTGGCCCATATAACCCTACTCCCTATATAAATTAACATATTTAATTCGAAAGAGCGCTGTCAATAGTTAAACCCCCATTTATGGACCTCTTTCAAATATTACCCTGAGGTTCTCATTAATATAAATAGTCTATGGACCAGACGCTTTACTAGTCTATTAATTAGACTGTGGACTGGTATATTGACTAACCTGTTGAAACCTGTTGTGGTAGAAAATAACAAAGAGATCATTTGATAGAATCAAAATACACTACACACCGAAATTTACTTTGCATTTATGGGGCCTTCGTATATGGAAGGTATATACAATTATGTATAACGGTTTATAACAATATTAATTGTTTAGTTTACAATTAATGAATTCTCATAAATGTTTAAGTAGGAAAAGAACTAAAGATCGTTTAAGAATTTTTATACCCACCATCAAAAAATATGGTCGTTTTGTCATTTCAGTTGTAACACATAGAAATATTGGTCATAGAACGAAAAATGTTTTTGGATCCTTATTAAATTCTAAAACGATTTAGCCATGTCTGTCCGTAAGTCCCTCTGTCTGTTGAAAGCATGATAGGGTCCGAACGGAAAGAACTAGAGACTTGAAATTTTACACAAATATTTTACATAGGTCCAATTGAGTAACGTCTGTGAAACAAGGGTTAATGCAAAAATTTTAATATTTCATCTTTTTGGAAAAACCCGTCTCCAAAATTATATTGTTTTGTGCCTTCAAAGAGTCTACTGTACAATGATTGTAAAAAAAAATGTTTATGTTTACGCAAATTAAAATTGAATATTATGAATCGCACGCTTTTTTGAAAACAAATACTGAGAAAATGAATAAGGAAATAATACTATAGATAATTTACAATTATATTATATATTAGCTTTATCACCAAACAGTGAAGTAAAACTATTAATTTATAAATAGAATAAGCAAATTAAAGTTATTTTCTAAACTTTCACGAATTATTTTCTCCTTCACTTTACCAAATAGAAAACCAGTAAGAATTTATAGTTGGGCGTGGCAGAAGATATGATACCCTACACCAGTGATCATGTTAAAAATGTTGATTTTTATACCCTACACCACTATAGTGGGGAGGGTATTATACGTTTGTGCTGATGTTTGTAACACACAAAAATATTGGTCCTACACCCACCTTTAAGTATACCGATCGACTCAGAATCACATTTTGAGTCGATTGCGGCATGTCCGTCGGTCTGTCCGGCTGGCTGGCTGGCTGTCCATGTAAACCTTGTGTGCAAGGTACAGGCCGCAATTTTCAAGATAATATGATGAAATTTGGATCAAGCATGTTTTTTGGCACAAGAACGAATCCTATTTAAAATGTCTGAAATCAGTTCATTATTTCACCTAGCTCCCATACAACCGTACCTCCCGATTTGGGCTTTTTATGCCATAATTACATCAAATATACTATTGTCTCTCTAAAAATTGACACAAATAAGTTTTATATAAGTATAAATGACACTGCAGATTTTCGTAATGATCGGCCCTTATTTGACCCTAGCCCCCATACAAACCCCCCTTCAAAAATGTCTTAAACGTCTAAAATTGACTTGTAACCATTTGTATCGCAATGAAACTCAACATAATTAACTATTATTTAAAAATATATCCTTTTCCAAAATTTAATGAGGATCGGGCCATGTTTGACCTATACTCCTTTATAAAGCCTCATTTAGAAAATTTGTTTTTATCAAAAAATTGCTTAAATACTTTGGAATTAAAATTCAACATAAAAGATTTTTGTGAAAAATATAAAAAATACCTCCTTATGGTGTAGGGTATTATATGGTCGGCCATGCCCGACTATACTTTCCTACTTGTTTTTTTAATAATAAAGTATTACATTTTTAATTTAATTCAATTTGTTGACAAAAATAGGAATTTTGACCATCAAGTCATTTTCCGAAAGGGACTTTGTATGGGGGATATGATCAAATGAAGCCTGATCATAACAGAAATCAGATGTATCATTAAGACTTATATAGAACTGAGTTTTGTCGATTTTTGGAGCGATACAAGAACATACAATATATTTATGAGCTCAAAAGCCATTCGGTACGGTTTTATGGGGCTATGCTAAGTAATGGACCGATGTTTTTGCTACCTGTAGCGTGCGCACAATGTTTACATGGACACATAGACGGACGGACGGACGGACATAGCTAAATGGACTCAGAAGTGATTCTGAGCCTATTGATATACTTTAAAGTGGGTGTAGGACCAATATTTTTGAGTGTTACAAACACAAACACCACTATAGTGGTGTAGGGTATAATAATAAATATATAATTGAAAATTAAATTTGTATATAAAAATTTGGCTTTAAGCGAATTTCTTTTTATTTACTTTTGTGGTTAAATTGTTATTTCGAATATACTTAATAACCATGACTTTTATAACCATGACCTTGACCATGAACTTGTTGACCAGATTGTTCATGATGACCAGCTTGCTCATGATGGCCAGCTTCATGATGATGCCCAGCCTGTTGTTCATGAACATGACCACTAAAACCTTGTTCACGGCCAACATGTCCACCTTGGGGAGCATGACTGCTATGTTGGCTACCATAGCCTTGTTGGCCATGGCCACCGGCACCATAACCGTGTTGAGCCAAAGCAACGGCGATTAAAGCGAAAAGAACAATAATCTGAAATGAAAAAAAAAAAATATTTTTAAAATAAATAAATTTTCTTATGCCAAAAAAAAAATGAATTTTACTTACAAATAATTTTGCCATATTTGTGTTGTTTTATTTTCAATTTTCAGTTTGTTACTACATAAAGATGTGAAAATATTTGTGTTTTTATACCAGCAAATTCTGCACAAAATGTTTGCATTTTTTTACAAAACTTATTAATTTATTTTTATTACTTTTTTTTTTAATATTCTGCTTAGACCTTAAGGGGGGAATTAAGAAAAACAATAAACAAACACAATTGTGTATTATAGTATGTCTTGCAATTTAATTTGAAATTTCGTTCATATTGATATCAGTTTCATAAGGTTTAAAGGTGAATAAAATTGCATATTGATAATATTTATGACAAAAATACAAATTAGTAAAAAACAAGTAAGAGTGTTATATTCGGCCATGCCGAATCTTATATACCCACCATCAAATCATCCTTATAAATAAACTTTGATATTATCAATCTATGTTGAATCATATGTCGATATTAATATGAACACCAGGGAAATATTTGGTAGAGGGAATTTAATAAGGGCTTAAGCATGGACCGTGCTCTTCCGAATTAAAAATATTAATTTTGTTTGATCCAATATTTATAACCATAAACTGTTTTTTTGTAAGAGTGGTTATATGGAGGGTAGAGTCAATTATGGACATATCCTTGTCGGTTTATACAATAATTATTTGTATCTAATGTAGCTGTACTTGTATCTTTAATTCAGTCATGAGGTTTAAAATAATTATCTGAAGGGAACCGAAAATGGGTGTTTGATTAGTTATCCTCATCAAATTCAGTTGAAAACTTCCAGTTCCTATAAAACTACCGTAATTTGGAAGAACTTTTGAGCCATACATGAGCGTTAAAGTGATTCTCTGGAGTGAATCGTTAAAGGCGCCCCTATACGCCCACCCCCGTGTAAGTCAATTATGGATCTATACTTCAAAAAATTAAAACGATTGTATCGCATTTTTGAGTCAGTAATGAGCGTTAAAGTCATTATCTGAAGGGGACCAATTACAGACTGATCCTCATAAAATTTAGTGGGAGATTTTAGCTAATACGGAAATTGTTTATGTCGAAATTCATCGATGTACTCGCAGTTTTAAGCTAGTAATGAGCTTTAAAGACATTTTCTGAAGGGGCCTTTACAAGTGGGATAGGGTTAATTAAGGATCGATCCTAATAAAATTTGATAAAGAACTTTTGGCTTGGACAAAACTTGTTTATGTAGAATTTTTGAGTCAGTAATAAGCCTTAAAGTCATTATATGGGGGGTAGGGTCAATTATGAACCGATCCTTATAAAATTTTACGAAGAGATTTAAATTCTTATAAAACATGTTTGCGCCGAATTTCACCTCTATTGATGCTTCCTTTAGCCAGTTATGTGCGATAAAGTCATTTTCTGACGTGGACTTTATATGGGCGGTAGGGTCAATTATGGACCTATCCTTTAGCCAGTTATCTTAGTCTTATTTTCTGAAGGGGACTTTATATGGGGGGTAGGGTCAATTATGGACCGATTCTTGTAAAATTTTACAAAGAGATTTAAGTTCTCATTAAACATGTTTGTGCCAAATTTCACTGCAATTGATGCTTTTCTTAGCCAGTTATGGGCGATAAAGTCATTTTCTGAAGGGGACTTTATATGGGGGGTAGGTTCAATAATGGGCCTATCCTTATAAAATTTTACAAAGAGATTTATGTTCCCATAAAATTTCCGAATTTCACCACTATTGATGCTTCTCTTAGCCAGTTATGGGCGATAAATTCATTTTCTGAAGGGGACTTTATATTGGGGGTAGGGTCAATTATGGACCGATCCTTATAAAATTCTACGAAGAGATTAAGGTTCCCATAAAACATGTTTGTGCCGAATTTCACAGCTATTGATGCTTCTCTTAGCCAGTTATGGGTGATAAAGTCTTTTTCTGAGGGGACTTTATATGGGGGGTAGGGTCAATTATGGGCCTATCCCTATAAAATTCCACGGAAAGATTTAGGTTCCCATAAAACATATTTCTACCGAATTTCACTGCAATTGATGCTTCTCTTAGCCAGTTATGGGCGATAAAGTCATTTTCTAAAGGGGACTTTATATGGGGGGTAGGGTCAATTATGGACCGATTCTTATAAAATTTTACAAAGAGCTTGAGGTTCCCATAAAACTTGTTTGTGCCAAATTTCACCGCTATTGATGTTTTTCATAGCCAGACGAAAAAGTCATTTTCTGAAGGGTACTTTATATGGGGGGTAGGGTCAATTATGGGCCTATCCCTATAAAATTTTACAAAGAGATTTATGTTCCCATAAAACATGTTTGTGCCGAATTTCACCGCTATTGATGCCTCTCTTATCCAGTTATGGGCGATAAAGTCGTTTTCTGAAGGGGACTTTATATGGGGGGTAGGGTCAATTATGGACCGATCCTTATAAAATTCTACGAAGAGATTTATGTTGCCATAAAACATGTTTGTGCCGAATTTCACTGCTATTGATGCTTCCCTTAGCAAGTTATGAGCGATAAAGTCATTTTCTGAAGGGGGCCTTATATGGGGGCTAGGCGAAATCGTGGACCGATATTGCCCATTTTCAATACCAAACAAACTGCATCAACTAGAAGTATCTGTGCAAAATTTCAGCTCGCTATCGTGTTTTCGTTCGCTATCGTTTGGACTCTATCGTGTTTTCAACAGACAGACAGACGGACAGACGGACGGACATGGCTAGATCGTCTTATAATCTAATAAGGACCCAGAATATATATACTTTTATGGGTCTTAGACGAATATTTCAATGTGTTACAAACGGAATTACAAAAACAATATACCCCCCATCTTTTTTGATGGTGGGTATAAAAATTATTATAATATATAATAAATTTATTATTTAATTATATAATAAATATTTGAAAGCATTATGACGCATTATTTTTGAATTGTTTGCACCAAAATTAACGAAATAAATTTGAGGAAAATACATACTTCAAAAATCATTTTATATACACCTTCAAAAAACCCGAATTTTGTATAATGCGATATCAATTTTGTGTTCTTGTGATATTCTAAAACGATACACAGTGGGTCAGAATGGAATTTTTTGGGCTAGTTCGATCTGGATAAAATTTGACAAAGGCGTAGTCAAGAAGTATGATCATGATACCCTACTTTAAGCGCCCATAACCCCACCCCTGGAGTATTTGTGGATCCATTTTCAAAACTTAAACTCTAATACTCCTTTAACCTGATCGAACTAGCCGTTTAGAAAGGACATATTTATTTCCAAAAAAAAAAAAACAATTCTGGCCCACTGTGCAATATAGATGTGTCCGTCCATCTGTCTATTTGCATGTTAACGCGCAATAGTGTCCACAAAAAAGAGCTAGAAGATGAAATTCTTGTTATTGATCATAAATGTTGAGCACTAAAAAAAGGTAAAAATCTGACCACGATTTTAATTAACTTCCAAGTAAATTTCCCCTCGAAATACATTCTAAGCATACATTCATAAATACTTCGATCAAATTTTGCACAGGTTTTTAAAAACTTAAATATCTCATTCTCAAAATATTTTTGAGAATCGGTTCATAATTTTGTCATAACGATTTTATGTAAAGTTAAATTTAGTCGCATATTATTGACAGTAAATTTCATATTTAATAAGTATATTAATTTTGACATTATTCTATTGGTGACAAATATCACAGACAGATTGCAAATAAGTTCATTATTCTTTAACATAAACAAATAAACAAATTGTGACAGTAAATATTAAATCATTTTTTATGTTTGAAAATTTTTATATATTTGTTTGGAATATTATTGAGATTGACGTCAAGTATATTCAGGAGAAATTTAGGTTTTCAAACATTCATTAACAACTTTTAATTTCACTAGAAAAGACTCATAGTAACATTCACAGTGCGGATCTGTTTCATTCTAAAATACGATTTACCATATTAGTTAATTAGTGTAATATACTGTATTAGATTTCAGTTATTTCCTAGTTTCGTTAATTATCGTTAATCAATTGACTCAGTATCAATAACTCAACCATGTCTGTCCGTCCTTATAAATTATATGATAAAATTATATGACATTATTTAATCGAGAAGATCAATTAACATTAGATTTTAATATCCATTAGAAATTGATGTCCATAAATAAATGATTATTTTATAAACTGTTTATAAATGAAATTTTGTTTTATAAACCTTTTATAAAACAAAATGTTATTTCTGAATAAGGGGGTTAACATATAAGGTGTCACGGCCGCTATTGGTTATCCACCCATTTTTGTAAAGCTAAGTTCAAAATTCACATGAGGGGTATTCAATCAAAGTCAAAGTTAAGTTATAAAACAAAATGTTATTTCTGAATAAGGGGGTTAACATATAAGGTGTCACGGCCGCTATTGGTTATCCACCCATTTTTGTAAAGCTAAGTTCAAAATTCACATGAGGGGTATTCAATCAAAGTCAGCAGCCTTTATTTTGTTCATGAATTTAACAAAAAACTTTGAATCGAATTTGCCACAAAACTTCTGTGTTAATTTGCTTCAAACTTCATTTTATTTTATTATGCTAAGTAAATGTAAATGGAACTTATGGAAAAAAAATTTTTTTATGAATATTTGCTTTATAAACTATGGATAATTTTTTATGTCCACTATATGTATCAAGTACTATTTTTTTTGGTCAAATATTTTATAAACTTTTCCATTAAATGGAATTTTGTTTTTTTTTTCAATTATTTTATATTTTTTTTATTTTTAATCACTAATTGTTTAAATATTGGCAATAATGAAAAAACTAATCTATGTATAGAAAAATTTATAATTAAACAAAGTTTAAAGTAAAATTGATTATTTCAAAAAGGTAAGCAAAAAACTAAACAATACAAAAGTTTTTAAAGTTTTTTATTACTCTCTTGAATAGAACGAAAAAAGGATGTTATAAAAACAATTAAGACAAAGCACAAACATGATAATAGTATTAAAGGAAATAAAGTGTAAAAACAAACACTAATTACACAATGTAAACTTTTAGAGAGAAAAAAAAATATTTATAAAAAAACAACTTAGCTTAACTTATACTGCACTATGGTTCTACAATATCAAACCTTGAAAAACGACAAACACTTTATATTCACGTAATTATTATATTTCGTTCTTTTTTATAATATTTTTAAAATATTTCTTAACACATTCTTAAATATAAGCATTTTTATTATT